ATCCACATGAATGGCAGGACCCAAGGTTTCCCAGCAGAACATCGCCCAAAGCATCACAACGCCTCCTTCGACTTGCTGTCTGTCCACACTGCATCCTGGTGCAATGTGTTCCCCACGTAAGCGACGCACACGCACCTGGCCATCCACGTGATGTAAAAGAAAACATGATTCATCAGACCAGGCCACCTTCTTCCATTGCTCCGTGGTCCAGTTCTGATGCTCAAGCGCCCACTGTAGGCGCTCTCTGCAATGGACAGGAGTCAGCATGGGCACCCTGACTGGTCTGTATCTACGCAGCCCAATACGCAACAAACTGCGATGCACTGTGTGTTCTGACACCTTCCTATCAGAACCGGCATTAACTTTTTCAGCAATTTGAGCTACAGTAGCTCGTCTGTTGGACTGGACCACACGGGCCAGCCTTCGCTCCCCACGTGCATCAATGAGCCTTGGCCGCCCCTGACCCTGTCTCCGGTTCACCACTTTTCCCTCCTTGGACCACTTTTGATAGATACTGACCACTGCAGACCGGGAACACCCCACAAGAGCTGCAGTTTCGGAGATGCTCTGACCCAGTAGTCTAGCCATCACAATTTGGCCCTTGACAAAGTCGTTCAAATCCTTACACTTACCCATTTTTCCTGCTTCTAACACATCAGCTTTAAGGACAAAATGCTTACTTGCTGCCTAATATATCCCACCCACTGACAGGTGCAAAGATAACCAGATAATCAGTGTTATTCACTCCACCTGTCAGTGGTCTGTATGTTTGTACCTTCTTGTTAATCTCCGTGTTATTCAGTGTAACTTACAACAAACGAATAAAACAGGAGGAAAGGACGTCTCAATTCTCTAAAAACACATTTCCTCGTTCCTTCTTCTGATTTCCTTGCGTCTCTCCGTGCATCCCTGGTTGGGGGGAGGGGGGGGGACTAAGATGCAAGGACAAGATGCAAGTGAGGGAAACCTGGATGCAATTAAGCGACGTGAGACGCACCCATGAACTGAGCTTCTGTCTTCGTGGTGTTGGACGCCATGTTGTGGCCGGTCTTTCCCACACTGGATCCTGCAGGATGTGATTATGGAGAGAGAAAAGAGTAAAGGATGGAGAAAGTAGACAGAAACGTTAACCCTCTTACAGTAGTAGTATTACTGCATTATCTACATTTTCTCGGCCGTCACCCACTTCTGTGTGAGTTAATGATTAGTGACTGTACACTCTTATCTGTGTTTGATAACAGCAGCAAAGAACAGCTTGCATTAGATCACTTTGGCACACATACACACACATTTCTAGTATCTACTGGGAACATATCAACAAGAGATGCACATTAATAACAGGATACTACAACTACTGGCTTGTATAAATAACCAACACTGTCATCAGTCAAATGCTAGCTGCTGTGTTGAGTTTGTAGCAGGGATCTCTTCCACCACGGAGCCATACTGTAGCTGAGGGTGGAATGGGTAACACCACTGCTCTGCTCTGCCTCCTCAGCCTGCACAAACACCCAGTATGTAGCACTGGGCTGAACTGGGAGAAGAGGCGCGCACACACACACACACACACACACACAACAATGAACACACACATATATTTTTCCTAGAGAAAAAAAGAAACACAAAGAGGAATGAGACACACACAAAAAGAGTGAATGAGTTTGAGCTTAGTTCAAAGTAAAATATGTAAATACACACATAAAAGAAGAGCTGCAGTGATTGATTAGCTGATCGATTATGCAACTATTTTGATAATAAATCAAAGTTCAAGTCCATATTCAAGATTAAAGGTCAAGCATTTGATGGTTCCAGCTTGTGGACGTCCTGTTTTTCCTTGCCTTACATTATATTAGATTTAATATCTTTTCACACTGACGACATGATGAGATGATCACGAAAGGACAGTTTTATAATGTTTTAAGCACCTAACAATGAATTGATTAGTCAGGAAAGGGAATGGCAGATGAATCAGTAATTAAAAATAATAGTTAAAGCCCATTCTAAATTAATTTAATCTGTATTCTCTGTAGAGACAACATTATAAAACATTCAAATCAGGTTTTAAATCCTTTTTTTTAAATCAAAGATTGTAGACCAGGGCAGCACTACAGTTCTTCATTAGAATGCTGTTTTGTTACACATTTTACCTTCATTAAAACATTATAGCTCTTATGATTTGCATATAGCACTTGACCATACTGTGGTTTCCATAAGCTTTAGAATAACCGCGCAGCCCTATAATGGCAGCCTATGTGACAACAGCTCTTACATGTCTGCACGAATAAACAGAAATCTGAAAAAAAAAAAATGAAATAAAATAAAATTGGAGGTTAATGTTTTAAAGTAAAACTGCAAAACACTGAAGAAAAAAAAAAAAAAAGAAGAAGCCTACATCCGCAGGACGCGTGGCACAATCACAGTGGGAGTACAGTAAGATCCAGGCCCGGGTTTGAACCTGCTCCCCTACAGAGACAGATCTCCTCTCATACAGGAACATATAACGCAGTACAAACACACTTTACATAGTTTGCCTTATAAACCGTGTGGAGGTCACATTTTAGCGGCTAACACTTATTGGAACCTGACCTCTGAAGGCTGCACTGTAACGCGAGAGTCCGGCTGACGTCTCACACTGTAAACCTGACAGTTGTTGATTTACAGTCGCTGGGAATAACGCAGCAGACTCAGGAGATGCTGTTTTACGCGCAGACGGGCTGAAAATGAGTCTCAAGTGGCAGAAAATAAAAACATTTTCAGTAAAATATCACTTACAACTGAACAGCTGGACCGCCAGTGCCGCTACATGGAGACGTGGAGGATGGAAAGGTCTGGAAAGAAAGGAAGAGGAAGGTGGTACTGCTGCTTAGCCTCACGTAACGGGTTGCCAGGTTTGCAGTTTGTCTCCTATCGCGCATGTGCAGTGTGCAATGGTGAAACATGCATTCAGGTATTTAAGTTATTCAAGTGAGGGTGCTTGAATACATAAATAATAATAAATAAATAAAATCATGTTTGAAGGTCCGGTGTGTAACATTGAGGAGGATCTAATAGCAGACATGGAATATGATATGCATTGGTTTATACACGGTGTATAATCGCCTTAAAATAAGAATTGTTAGAACCTCAGACCTAAACAATCACCTATTCCTGCCCTCTTGCACTGATTTGACTTTTCGGACTTGGTTTGACAAAGGGATAACTACATTTAAGGACCTTTACAACCTTTTACGTCCTTTTCTGAGCTCTCAAAGAAATGTTACTTCCCACCTATTTCGTTATTTTCAGAGTAGGCATTTTGTTCAAAATCAGAACCCCAAATTCCCTACTCGACCCCCGGAAACTCTGGTTGATTCGTTATTGGCTCTTGTTCCGGAACAAAAGCAGTTCATTTCTAGCGTTTACAGCCTTATCAGTTCAACTACTGACAACTTGGAACCACTCTACCTGATGATTATTGGAAACAAGTCTTGCCGTTTGTTCATTCCTCTTCAATCTGTGCGAGACACAGCCTCTTACAGTGTAAAGTGGTACACAAAGTTCATTACACTAATTTGAGGCTGTCTCGGATTTACCCCAATGTAACCGACTCCTGTGATAGGTGCAGACATTCCCCAGCCGACCATTCCCATATGTTCTGGTTCTGTCCCAGGTGTGCCACATTCTGGTCAGAAATCTTCAAAACTCACAGCATATAACCCTACTATCTCTCCTGAACCTCTCTTGGCTTTGTTTGGTGCCCCTTTGCAGCCTTTTGCCTCTAAAGTCATACAGACTGTTCTCTCCATCTCATAGCAGTTGGGTGAAAGAGGTGTTACTGTCCACTAGACTTGAAAAGGTCAGATTTTCCCTCAATGGCTCCTTAAATTCATTTGAAATAACTTGGAGACCTCTCTTAAATTATATTGAATCTTTGGCAGTGACGACTGACATTTTTATTTCATTTACTTATTTATTTCAGTATTTTCTTTATTTATTTATGTATCTGTTTTGTTTTATGTATATTATACTGTTCACGTCAATATTGGATTTACCTTGAGAGCTGTTGTCTCTCGGTGGGGTGGGATTGTGGGAGGGATAAAAAGGGAAAAAAATGAAAGAATGGAAGTTACATAGAACTGTCATGCTGTTGCCTGTGAATTGTTCCCAATAAAGAAAGTTAATAAATAAAAAAAAAGAAGACTTAGAGCTGTTTTTATCTACAGAGGTAGCGGGTCCTCTTCTACAGAGCCTGCATGTTGAACTGTCTTGCTTCACCAGAACAGACGAACCAAACACAATACGGACTTTTGCTGTTTTTTTTTTGGAAGTTTCACCAGAGGAGAGTGAGGATGAGCGGTGAGGAAGAGGATGACGTTGATGTGAACCTGATATAGAACCAAAGGAAACAGGTAGAGGTATTAGATGGTTCATCTAAGTTGATGATGAGTAAATGAAATGTAAGACACTGAATGAGAGTTGTTAAATGAAATTAAATAAGAAATATATTTCTTTTTGATCGCGGTAATGACGGCCCTGTGTCTTATTACAGCTGTATTACGATGATATTATTAGCATACATTCCAAATAACAATTGAACTAATATTAATTGATCTATTTAAACACTAAGTTATACATTTTACAGATCATACCCCTCTTCTTATTTTTTTATTTTATTTTGTAATATTTCCTTCATTCAGACTTTTTAAAGTAATTAAAAAAACATGACATTTGTTTTTTATCATGTTTAAATAATAATGAATGCAATAGAGGGTTGATAGACTGCAGCAAATACGACAAAGAAAGGAGGGAATTAGAAAATCTACTTTGAAAGAAATTATGGAAAGTACATAATCATGTAATTAATCATTTAAAATAACAGGAATAATAGAGTTTAGTCATTTTGTGTGTTGTTTTTTGGTTTTCCCTGCCAACCTACTGCTCCACACTCCAGACCAGCAGGCACACGCTGGTTTGACAACCCCCATTAAAACCCGACGAAGAGGAAGAGGAAGAAGAAGAAGAAGAAGAAGAAGTTTCCCATCTGAAAACGCGTGTTTCCGTCGGACCTGGCAACCCCACTGCCGGTCAGACTCCACCGCGCAGACTCCAAACTCATGGCGGACGAAGTTGAGCAGGTTGGTGCATCTGCGTTAAATTCTATTGTTATTCTCCAACGCAGCGTGTATATAACTAACCCGAGAGAAGGACTTTAAACCGGTTTATTTAATTACTTGTGTTCGGGGGGGGTTTTTGTGTTTATTGTTTGTGTTTACTCAGTAAACAGCGCGGAGAGGCCTGTCAAACAAGCTAACTAAATTAGCCTGGTGAGCGTGTAATGCTAGTGTAGTGAATGAGAGATTAAATGTGTTGAAACATAAGACAACACGACGCCATCAGTGCTCCTTTGTCTCTGGTTTGTTGTGTCGGTGTTTACAGCTGATGTTCTGGCTGCAGTTTAAGCGGTAACACATCCAGATGTTCAATAAAAGATGCAGTAAAGATAGTATGGAGATCTATGGTGAAGGAAACAGCAGCACCTCATTGATTTACCTCCACTGTGCACACATATTCAGTCTCATGTAGTTATTATAATATGCTCTAAAGCGGTATAGTGTTTTAATAGCAGAGTTTCTTATGTGTAACAGGTCGTTCTCCAACATTAGTAACATTTTCATTATCTGTTCATCTGCTGTTTAATTGTTAAACCAGTCTCATCATTAGTATCATCACAATTTCCCAAATGGACAATTTATTATAAGAAATGATGAAGAAAAGCAGCAAATGTTTAATTTATTGCTTTAAAAGGAAAAAATGTGTGAAATAACTCATTAATTATCAAAATCCTTCCTAATCGTTGCAGCTTTCTAAAACCCTTTCTGACATTTACTGCAGGCTCGCCCACACAGTCTGAGTTGGGTTCGTATAAATCTGATGGATACTGAAGAGAAACCGGAACACAAACACACATTTGGTCCTCTCGTCTCTTTATGTCCCCCCCCCCGTCGCAGACCTGCTGCAGCTTCTCTGACTCCCAGCTGTGGTTGTTGCTGCTGGCTGAATTCACTCTTTGATTACGTAAAAACGCGTTGCTCTTAAATTATGCATCAAACATTTCATCAGCTGTAGGCTGCTGTTTGTGCCTCTCAGTTATTAGAACCATATTGGAGTCACAGAGCAAAGCATCTGTTCTCCTGAAAGCGAGAAAGAATCCAATCACTGTTCCAACAACTGGATTAAAGAAAATATCTTCCCATGCCCCAACTCTATTTTCTATTTATATATACATATATCCTTCCTTGATCAGATTGTACGCTGTGAACCAAAATGATCTGCTGTGTTTGTCTGGAAGGGTACTTTGCATTATTTTCTGTTTTCATGCACAATGATGCATTTTTCTTTTTCTTCCAGAACAAACATGAGATTTCCTGCTACTTGGTTTAGGAAATGCAGACACACGTTGTTAAAACAGATAAAAACAGACGGAGTTGTTTTCATTTTTCCAAAAAAGCATCTGTTAGCGTAACTAAATGAGCTGCAAACATTTAAATTCTGATAAATGTGGCTGGCTTGTGAAAGATTTGATCATTTTCCCGTAGATCTTTAGCGAACGTGTGCTCGGCTGAACTAACCTTACAGACCTTACTCTATGTGTGTCGCAGCAACCAACTACCAACACGGTTGAGGAGCCACTCGATCTGATCAGACTCAGTCTAGATGAGAGGATCTACGTCAAGATGAGGAACGACCGGGAGCTCCGCGGCCGCCTGCATGTAAGCTACACACCCAGTAGAAGTGTGTGTGTGTGTGTGTGTGTGTGTGTGTGTGTGTTTTTAGATTTTAGAGCAGCAGGCCAGAAATGTAGCGCAGTCCTCATGGTGTCCACGGAAGCCCTTTTTAAATATGCAGTCTGGTCATCATTTATTCATACTCTTAGTTGTTTGTTGGTCCTAGGCGTACGATCAGCACCTGAACATGATCCTGGGTGACGTGGAGGAGACGGTGACGACGGTGGAGATTGACGAGGAGACGTATGAAGAACTCTACAAGGTGCGACACAGATTTCTCTCCGTTACAGCCTCGTTTTTTTTCTTACCGAAGCACCGTTGTTGTGGTGGTCTTGGCTCATAAACAAGTCTGGACAAAGAATAATGCTGCTTTACTGTAGTATTTAATTTTAACAGCATCATTCTGCTTCCAAAGTGATACTATAAATGCATATTTTCATACAGTCAAGAACACAGTGTGTCAGAAGTGACGTCCTTCAGCTGCATTATTTAACGCATTATAACATATAACAACAATATAATATATTTACAGTAGCCAGTAACAGGTTTAGATTAGATTTGCTGTCGTGTTGGACAAACAGAAAAGACGATGGTGACAGCCTCACTGTCTGCAGACAGTTTTTTGTTTATCGGCCTTGTGAGTGCACGCAGATGCAGTTTATCTCTTAATGGCAGATAATTAATAATAAAAAAATCACTAAACGTTATCCTTCTGGGGCATTTGCAGAAGAACATCCACTAAAGGTGCTTGTTTTTGCCCCATAACATATTCTAAGTGTCAACAACATTGTGGAAAGGATCCCTACAGATGGACCTTTTTGTCAAAGAGTAAGATTTGTTGTTTAACCAGAAACCTCCGTTATCGGTCTCCTCACAGCCACCAGACTCTGGGGGGGGGGTAGATCATCGTAAAACCGCTGCCTCTTTAATGCCCAACCTCCCTCCTGCTTCTCTTCTGATACATTCACATCTAGCTCGCTGAATTAAGAGTTTATTTTGTTTCGTTTTCCGTTGCGATGTTACGATGATCTGCGAGGTAAAGTCACTGTACCTGTGAGTCTGTGGCTTTGAGGAGAGAGATGGTGGCTGTTTGTCTGGTTAAACAAAAAGGATCTTACTCTTTCACAAAAATCCATCTCCACAGGGTCCTTTCCATAACGTTGTCGGACACTCAGAATCAACGATCTAAGCCCGTCAGTGGCGAAAACAAGCACTTTAATGGACGCTCATCGACGCTCAATTGCCCAGAAGGATTAGGTCACAGCCCGTTTTTGAGGCTGCCAGCTGCCGCGCTCTCGCTCAATACTGGATCAATTTCAAAAGTCGTTGTCCCCATTAGTCACTTAGACACAAAATCATGGGGAAATAGGTACCAAGTTACACTTTGAGATGCTCAAGCATATATATGTTTTAAAAAATTGTAATGTATGAAGCGGGAGAGAAGTAAAACTATTCTTTTGTCTCAGGAAAGTTGTTGGAAAGTACTTCTCTAGAATACTTTGTGAATATTGCTCATGGTGCATTTAACAGTAAAATGTGCATTTTTGTGTCTTTTTTTTTTTAGTCAACCAAGAGGAACATCCCCATGCTGTTTGTCAGAGGAGACGGCGTTGTCCTCGTAGCTCCGCCTCTCAGGGTGGGCTAACCCCGACCACTTCCTGAAGTGAAGTAGGGATTGTCACTGCTGGGAAGTTTCTAATTTTGAGGGGGGAGGGTGGTGCTGTCAGGACAGGCTGAAACCGGGGTTGTGTTCGAACATCTTCAGCCTCCTGGAGTCAGACTCTTTTGTCAACACTGTTCTCTTATGACTCGAAGGTCAGATACTACACACATTCTCAACTTCTTTTTGGGCTGCAAAGATGTAAAACATGTTTTTGAGGACTTTTTTTTCCTCTTAGTTTTGGACTAAGAGAGTCTATTATTTTGTTTTTTATTTGGGTGAATTGTTATTAATTTGATTTGGGGATTGTGGGTGATTTCAGGCCACCATTTGTGTTTCTATTTCTCAGGATATATAATTTGAGTTCATACATTTCCACCACTTTAGTTATTAATCCAGAAAAATGTACTATTTTTAATCTCCTCCAGGGGATTTAGTTACCTCTTTTTCCCAGTCTCTGCCATTAGCAGACCAAATTAGAAATGTCTCATCATGCTTTTAAGAAGCTGAACTGCCTCAGATGTGCGTATATGCCTCATTTGTCGTGTTTAAAAAAGTATTACCAGACAACAAACTTGAGTTGAGGGATTTTATGTGGTTTCTGATTTTGAAATGTCTCAAGTGAAAATTTTTTATGTTGGTTCCAAGCAAACGTCTTGCAGTTACTCCCAACCCATGATCTGTGAATGTTTGGGAAGTTGTTTGAGTTTCTGTTGGACGGTTTTATTTGAATTTCTTTTTATATATATTTTTGTAGTGTTTGTGGCATTTGGAAGTACATCAGAATGTCAGATGTGTGAACATTTGTTTTTCATTTGGTTTTGGTAACTTGAATAAAAAACGTAATTTGAAAAGAAAGAATGTCTTTCAAGTCTTGTGTGAAAGTAGTAGATGTTCTCCATCACTTAAGAAAACACAAGCGTCAGGATTTTCTGACTATCTTCATCATGTGACCATAAACTAAATATCTTTGGGTTCGGGACTATTGGTCAGAGTAGACGAGACATCTGAAGACCTTTTGGCGGTTGTGCAAATACGTTTTATGGACAACATGGTTAATCGATTAGTCCAGAAAATAATATGCAGTTTAATTGATTATGAAAAGAATCAGTTGCAGCCCTAATAACCTTTTCTGATTGTTAGGCTGGTCCTCTGCTAACTGTAAATATATATATATATAGTCTATATAAGGTATCATAATCTGATTTATAAACAGATCCATTTTCTGTAAATGAAAGCAAGTCAAATTTGTTTTATAGTAAAAGTCCTGCAGTCCAAAGTTTATTTAAAGGTCCAGTGTGTAGTTGTAGATCACGACCCCCTCGCCTCACACTCTAAGAGAAGAAATGGTGGCAGTGACGCTCGCCACAGTCCCTATCTAGAGTTTGGTTTGTCCATTCTGGGCTACTGTAGAAATGTGGTTCAACATGGCGGACTCAGTGGAAGAGGACCCACTCCCTCTGTGGATAAAAAGGTCTCATTGTAAGGTAACAAACAGACAATGATTCTTAACTTAAGGTGACTATACACTCCAAAAAATGACTCTAGGTACATTTTTATGTTTGTCCGTTCTGGGCTACTGTAGAAACATGTTGGTTCAACATGGTGGACTCAATGTCAGGCGATCGGTGGCGATTATACAGTAATGAAAGCATACCTATGAATATTATATTCCGTTTCTGATCACACACTTTTACACACCTTTAACTTCAGCTGTCAAATGTACAGCGGAGTCAATTTTCCTCTGAAATATGGTGAAGCACAATTATAAAGCAGATGAAAGGGAGACGGTCAAGTACCTCAAAATTATACTTAAGTGGAGTGGAATAAATTATTATTATATTATTAAATTATTGTATTGTGTTTTGACCACTAGATGGCATTATATAGCTAATAAACCACCAGGACTGAATCTGCATAGGCTGCTGTAAGCCAGATCCCTCACCATAAACCTTTCAGTCACATGTTCTACAAAGAGTATTCAGTTTTCACCTTCATTATTATATTCAATTCATGGAATGTGTGACATGTTCAGTCCAGGATACCGATGACACCAAATAAACAAAGTTTTCCATTCAAAACAATGCAGAATTGTCTGGAATGGAATGGAATGTGACATGACAAATGTTTTTTTCAGGCTTCCTAGAATCCCTTTGTCTCCTGTCATGAACCCTTGGTTAAAAAATATTTTACTATTCAAGATGTTCAAGATGATAACATCATCTTTTGACAGCTGGCAGCAGCGTTGACACAGGATCTTGAAATAAAACCTTTCATTTGCTTTATCATGTGCAGATAAATCACCACTGTGACTGTAAAGGATCAGTTCACCTGCTACAAAGAAACATTTTCTCAGTGGTATCTAGCCCTGATGGTTTTATGTATGTCCAGGTTTTGAAGTATACCTTTCAGATTTCGGTCTCCACTCAAATACAGAGGAAGTGCCATTTGTGGTGTTCACAGTTTTGAAAAGTGACAGTTTAAGAATTCAACATCGACATCTCTTACCACAGTGATTTGCAAATGCATTGAGATTTTTATGTGTCAACACATCTGTTTATGTGAACAGTATATAGATCTGGAAATGTGTGGACAAATCTGAAAATGCATATGTTTTAATAACTGAGAAGTCTAAGTATTTGCACCAGGAGCTCGAAATACAGACAATTCAGGCAGGACTGTCAATTGGCTCTTTTTACAAGTGACTTTTACTGACTGCAATGCGTGCGGCAATTTGTGTCTATGTAGAGATATTTGTCTTTAACAAATCTACAGATTTTTGTACACATTTTCAGATATGTCTATATATTTACAAATCTCATTACACTTGCAGATTACTGCACACATTCACAAATCTCAGTACATATTTCTTCTTTTACACATTTACAAATGTGATTATGCACAGATTGAGATACAGTTACACAGCTCACATTTATAAATAGTTTTGCCATACTCAGTTATCAGTGTTCTGTAACTTCCCATCCTCTGATGTCTAAACAGGAATATAAACCTGTCAGCACATGACTTGGGTGTGTTTCATCCTAGCACAGAGGTGCCTAATGAAAACTTGGGATGCTTAGAAAGAAGTTCTTCCTGTTTTTGATTCCTGTGTTTCCAGAGGCAGCTTTTGTATAAAATAAGCACTAACCTCAAGGAGGATCTTTCTTGGAAATATGAAACGTTTTGTTGATGCCAGCGGTACTTGACTGCACCGCCTGTCTCGCCACATCACCATCATTGCCCATTATCAATGTACAAAGCTACCTCCAAGGGACTATTAGTGTAATGTAACATCAAAAGGACAAGACCTTAATGCACGTTAATGAGGAGCTCAGCATCTTCTTGCCTCTAAATGTTTGTAAATGAGGCCTGTTGTAAATGTTATTCAATCATAGTAATAACAATAAAAAACAACTTTATGTAATACAGCTGCAGTTCTTCTTATTAGCTTTGCTGGAGCTTTCAACCATATCACACTGTCTGATTAATCCCAGGTTCCATTTACTAGCTTTTCCAGAGTTCAATCATGCCACATTCATTAAAGACTATTTATTTTAATTAAATATGAAATATTGAAAATAAAGGAACCTTTTGGGAGTAGAATTATGTCCCCAGAACTCAAAGGCCCAGTCTGTAACTGAGGAGAATCTATTGTCAGAATTGGAATATAATATTCATAGGTGTGTTTTCATTTGTGTATAATCACGTAAAAATAATAGTCATTGTGTTTTCGTTACCTTAGAATGAGCTGTTTTTATCTACGTTGGTCCTCTTCTGGCAGGGTCTGCCATGTTTCTACAGTAGACCAGAATGGACAAACCAAACACTAGCTCTAGATAGGGACTTAGGGATAGGTTTTTCACAAGTTTCACAGCCACTGTAGTTTCTTACAGCCTGTTCTCATTCCCAGGTCGTCAAATACAGACTTGAGTGGTGTTCAGTTAGTTGCAATCTGCAGCTTCACCGCTAGATGCCACTAGATCTGGTAAAACTGGACCATTAATCTAGACTCTGCCTGTGGTGGAAATGTACCAAGTTCCTCCTAAAGTTCCAAGTCCTAGGGAAAAGCTCCTACGATGGAAGCGCAGCTATTTATTTTCACATTTATATCAAAGCTCCACTGTCTTTAAGTCCTCACAGAGCTGCAAGCGTGACTTTAGACTTTTAGTCTTGTAAAAGTGCCAAGAATTGTAAATACATAGCAGCATAGCAGGGTGTGTTTACTGCATTGGGCCTGCAGTGCCTGTTAGTGTTACTGGACAGCACATGTCGCATTGGGGATTATTTTTTCACAGAGGATTTCTTTTCTCAGTCTTTCTGAAAAGCCAAAATATGCCCCCTGGGCTTTTGATCCATGTGATAAGATAAAATGGTTGTTCAATTTGAGCATTTCATGGTTAAGACAGAGATAAAACACTAATCTTACGGTAGCATTCAATAACTACAGCTCACATGATGCTCATGGGATATGTTGTTGAATGCAAACAAAATTGTCCATCAGAGTGGACTGTAAATGTAAAAGAGCTTCGTTCTTTCACTGTCAGATATCACCCGTTTGTGATTTTCGGCACATGCCAGCCGCATTTTGAAGTGCTGACAGACAGCAGTGTCCTCAAACATTATGTCATCCAATTCCTCGAAGCGGTCAACAAATAATACCTTAATGACTTCATACTTGACATGTCTTTACACTTGTGTCAGAGATATTTTTCGACTTCTAATCACTGGAGCTATGGTGTTATGAGGCCACATTGCTCGGCATTCGCATTCAGGCTAACAATGTCTCTGATGTAAGTTATTTAAATCTGCCTCTGTCACTTCTCCTCCAGCACCGAATGTGAACACATCCTCTCGGTCTCCTCATTTGTGGATTAGAGGTAAACTTGTGAGTGACTGGAAGGTTGTTGATCAGAATCCCTAAACATCACTTTCTTTTAACCAAAATTAGCACCTTTAATGTCTTTAATTGTCTTTTTGTTTGTGTTTTTATGCTGAAGTTCCTCTTGTGGGAGAAAAAAAGATCTGATCTGAACTGAAATATAACCAATGAGTGCAGGCTATACACAGGTATATGGAGTATACCCACCTATTATTCAGTCTGCATTGGCTATACCCGTTTCTAAATCCCCTCTGATGATCATCATTTAGTGTTCTGAGAGACATTTTCCGCCCTAGGATGGTGAAGGTATGACACAGTCTGATTTTCAGTGGATGGAGTAAGAAATAAGGAATACTTCACTCAAAATGCATAATTATGCAGTCGTGTCATTATGTGGACCAGTATTTATTGCAAAATTGGCATTTCTTCTGTGGCTAATGCTATTTTCATAATGATTCATACTGCCTGGAGTCTAACAGCAGAAGTTAAGTGACGATGTGCAAATTAACAGCTTCTGTTTGTTGCTTGTTGAATTTGGCCATGTGTTTTGTGAAAGTATGAGTCGTTGAGCATACACCAACTTGTTGTGATTGTTTTTATAGGTTTCTAGGTGGAGTATTTTTAAATGTACCACACTGCTGATGTGACACCTCCTTCATGTTGTTATTAGCCAGCTGTGTGGAGCTGAACAAGAAAGGAGCCAGGACTTTTTTAAATATATTACACAACTGTTTTGTTTGTGTCACTTTTCATGTGAAAGTGCGAGTGCAACACCATGAATGTCCAGGAAACTGAATATGTGCACCTGTATACTCGTATTTAAAGACTATTGTGTCTCCTAACTACTTTTACTACTAACTACTTTTGATTTCTGATGTGGTCCAACAACACGTCGTATGAGCTGGTTCTGACTGACTATATCCCGCCTCTAGCTTGGTCTGCTGTTTGGTGCTCGGCAGGTAGTGTACAGTGGTACAACTTG